ATTGTTCAAAGCTATTGTGTGTAGGGTCGCCATGAGTCATGGTCAACTCGATGGCACATAACAACAGCAACAGGAACAACTTTGGGTTGGCAGTACAATTCCTCACTTACTAGGCCGCCAGAGGTACATGTTTTTGTTGGGAGGGAGCTATAAACTAACTGAAGATCAGTGTGCAGTTGAGGATGAAAATTTGCTTGATATTCAGTTGTGAGTTTATTTCAACTTGAAGGTAATGAGAAAGAAACAGAAAGGGACTGAACCTTCTAACATCTCTGTCAATATTGAGTGACATGTTGTTGTTGTTGTCGATTGCCTTCAAGCATGATTCTTAGTGACCCTATGAACAAAAGGCTTGAAGCCCCTCCTCTACAACTATCAACATTTATCAAAATTCATAGAGTTTCTGGAGGCAGGTTATTTAAGAAGTGGATGCCACTCCTGCTTCCAAACCTGTCATAACATGTTATTGTTGCTATGTGCATTGTAGAAGAAAAAAAATGATTTCTTCTTTCCATTTTTTCCTATTACTATCTTTTCTTTTCTTGAAATATATACCTTTTTGTCTTACTCTAGTACTGAGTAATGAATGTGACTCCTTCTTCCCTCATTACTTGTCTTATCCACTTTTTTTTTCCTCTTTCCCTTTCTTCTCCCTTTCCCCAATAATTTATTCTAGCATTGTTGATCTGGTCCCAGTTATGATCTACGCTCTTCAAGATACTACTTAAGTTTTTGCATATATCCCTCTTAACAAAGAACCCTGGTGGTACAAAATTATGTAGCAGACTATTAACTGAAAAATTGGTGAAAATTCATTTTAGAAAGTGACTTTGAGGGAGAAAGAACTGGAAATTAGTTCCTACAAAACTATGATTGAGAAAAGCCTATTGGTCAGGTGGTCTAGCGGTAAAAAGCTATCAGGCAATTCCAAATGCACATGGTTGACATATACGAGGTGCTCTGTGGGACGGGCAATCTTTTCCTGTGGAATTTCCTGCCTCTGAAAACCCACTGGAGGATTAGCTATGGGTCAATTCAACTCAAGGGCACAGAATGACAACTCTGTCACAAGGGATTGCTTTGTGTTAAAATTGGATTCAACGGCACCTGACAATGATGATCACCTATCTAATCTAAAGTGAGTCCTGTAAATGCCCGTCTTCAGTTTGCTCTGTAGCAGTGAATTCCGTTTTATCTGCTCTTAGACTTTTTGATTTGATATTCTTTCAAAGCTATACTTTTCTCTTCTGAACTTTAGTCAGTCAACTAAATGAGCAAAGTTTTTCTAAATTGCTCTTGTCTGAGTGCATTATTTAGAAGCCTCCAGAGAAACAGTGCTTAAAGCAGTTTAATACAAATGTGGAAAAGAAAATCAGGATAAGGGAAAGCCCAGAGGCATCGGAACCATTAACGTGGACAGAAAGCCATTTGGCGCCATTGGGTGATAACTTGTGTATAGATACATCTGGGGGATATGATTAATTTTCAAAACTCTATTAATTTCTGCACTGTCTCATAAATTTATATTCTACTCTTCCCAATGAAATTTCCTGAATAAATTCATTGGTACCTTATACTTAAGCAATGTACAATTTTTCTTTGTAATTTTAAAATCTTTTTTCGTTTTTATTCCTAGCCAGAGTTAAAATATTAAATCTTAATTCAAAAGCCCAAGACTCCTTCTTGTGGAATAAAGGTTTCCTTTTCTCCTCCCATCTCTGTTTTTTTTTAAGTGGTTATTTAAAGCCCATTCTCCTTGCAAACGTGTAGACTATTCTTAAGGTTTGTGAAATGTAATACATCTTTTCTATAGTAGCCTAACATGTGTTTGAGTTACTGGCTTCTAACTCTCTGCATTTCATTTCAGATATATGTGCTGCAGAAAAATTAGCAGAGTGTCTCAGCAAGAGATGTTTCCTGATTCATTTTAAAACTCACCTGCAGGACACTCAGATCTGATTGTCTACAAAGTGCGTGGGTTTCTTTGATTTAACGAGAGTAGTTGAACAATGTTTAGACGGTTGTAGACTATTTGCAGCTATATTTGCAAAAGGCTATCATTTCTCTTGTAGTGTAGGAAAATTTGCTTAGTTTGAAAATTTTAGAGTATACTTTAGTTTTTTAAGTTTACTAACTAATAGGATTCCAATTAAGAGGAGTAGGGCTAAAGAAATGAAATCTTTATGTTAATGTTGAAAGTTACTGAGTTCTATTTTGGTGCTTCCAATAAACATTCTATCCAAACAGACCAGATTCCCCATGTCAACTAAGGTAAGATTATAGAATGCCATATACTGATTTCGTTTTGATAATATTTGAACTTGTAGTGAAAAACCTGGCTTCTCTGTAAGAGCATTTGTTCTTACTATGCTATCAAAATGCTTAAAAAAATGTAGAGTAGTAGTAAATTTTTAACACTTATTATCTACCTTGATCTGATTATCAAATTTTTACTATGCCTTCCATTTTGTTTCTTATTTAACTTCGTGTTATATATATCATACGGGTTTGACGACACACACACACACACAATACCATGGCAATTTAAGTAATTTTCAAGTTAACTTCTTACTCAAATAAATGAAAGAAAAGGAAAATAACATGACATGTGTGGTATCAAACATGTATGATTCAAGAGTATTTCATATTACTTTATGTATTCCTTATATTTCTTTTTTTTTGTTTTTTTTTGTAATCCTTATATTTCTTAATTATATAAGATCATCTCAATTGCATAGATAAACTTAAAAAGAAGTTTAGGAAAATGAAACAAATCACTGTAGATTTATATTTGATCAGTTGATTTTATACATCTTTTAATATTTTTACCTATTCTTGCTTTGCACTGTTCAAGTCACTTACTCAAAAGTTGTCTAATATTTCTGTCATCAATTATGAATTTATTTATTTTATAGATGTTTCTTTATAGTATAGATGAACAAGAAATATCCTTTGTTTTTGTCAGTTCTTCTTTCTCCATTGGTTACACTTAAAATCCCCAATATCTCTGCCAATAATGGTGATTTTTATAGCATGTTCTCATAAAAAAGAGGTTTAAACTACTTAGACTAAGCCTTTGTGCTAATCTGAGGCAAAGTATCTTGACTGAAGAAAATATGCTTTTGGAAAATTAATTCAAAATTGCTTACAATCAAAGAATTACTCAAGTATATTGAAACGTTCTCATTACCTTTTGTTTAAATGTTTTAAGTGCTGCTGCCATTCAAAAATTCCTCACCTTCCTCCCATCCATTCCATTCTCTACCTGCATGCTCTTGACCGTTAGGCATTGGATGCAGCACTAACATGAGGGAAATGTGTGAATCTGGCTTGTAGTAGCCAGAGAAGGGGACTTTTTGATCCTCAGAAATTCTTCTCATTTTCTCAATCCCAGTATCTCTGTTGCATTTATTTTTTGGTATGAGTTTTAACAACTTTTTTGGAAAAATTAGTCACTTATGTAATGTGTTCATTGAAAGTGTTCAATTCTTTTCAGCATATACATACATAAAAAGTGCAACAATAATCACAGCCAGTTTCAGAACATTTGATTCATTACATAAAAAGTAGTGATTCTATCTCTTTAGCCATAATCTTTTCATTGAAGACTAGAGTTTAGATTAACTGAGCATTTTGTGCTTCTAAGCCATTTACCAATTTATAATAATAGTAATTATGATCATTATTATGTTTAAAATAATTTTTTATGATATATTTTTTAAAAAAATCAACATTTTATCAACTGAAAACTCTAGGAATTTTTACTACTTGTAGGAAGGAAAACAATGGATCACGTTGTCATTCATTTATGTATGTAACAGCCTGACAGTGCAGTAAGTGTGTCTTAGTTGAATTTGTCATAATCTTGTTTTATAGATGTTTTGTCTACGAATGTATACAAACATGATATTTCAACAAAATGATCTAACATATTCATACACACTCAGACAAATTAGCCGTTTTATTTTTTAAGAAAGTGTCAATGACTATGTTTTATAAATTATAATCTGTGTAATGTAAAAGGACAGGAGATTATTAACTGGGTTTTTTTTTTAAATTTTGTCTTGTTTTTCTTACAATTTCAATGTTTAATTGAAATATCTTCTTTTCAATATTGGATTTGCATAATGCAATAATAATATTTATTCCCATGTTTTTGTTAAATGCTACTGAGCAAGCTCCAACTTGTAACAACTTTATGTACAAAAGAAATATTGTCTAACCTCATACCATCACTTAATCACTGCAATAAATTCAACGTGTTATTATAAAAATGATTAAAATGAAAACTACTGTTGATGATTAAGGAAACATTTAAAATTGTATTTAATGTTTACTGTCAATTTAATAAAATTGAATTGCAGAACTTTAAAGATACCTTTTACAACATATTTGCCTAATGTAATATAGATTGATTTTTCTTTGCAGGGCACTAACTATGAAGCTGAGTAAAATACATATACTTCATCTCATCATACA